GTAGTGGAGAAGGTAAGATGCCAGTGATTTGAAACACACATAGGAGGGTGAAATCAACTGGTCTTGGAGATAGACGGGGCATGTAGGTGAAATAGAGGGAAGTATCAAGAAAATTCCTCTTTTTCCCCCATTAATATTTCGTAAGTTAACAATTTAAATCTTTTGGATAGTATTAGTTTCCTAGGGTTCCTGTAATAAATTACCATAAAATAAGTATCCTACAGCTGCAAAAATGTATTCTTTCATAGTCTGGAGGCTACACAAACTCAAGGTGTCAGCAGAACTGTGTTCCTTTTCATGACTCCAAAGAAAAATCTTTTCTTGCATCTGACAACTTCTGGTGGCCCCAGGCATTCCTTGCCTGTGCTGCTTCTTATCTTCACATAAATGCCTCTTCTGTTTCTTATAAGGACAAGTGTTTTTTGATTTGAGACCCATTCAGATAATCCAGGATCATATTATCTTGAGATTCTTATCTTAATGATATCTACAGAGACCCTTTTTCCAAATAAGGTCACATTTACATGTTTGAGGTTTAGGATATGGACATATCTTTGTTGGGGTCACTCTTCACCTCAATATAGACATAATGTGCATTATAGTGAATGCCCCAAATGACCTTTACATATGCTGTGGTAGGGGCTACCAGAACTTAGCTATGTGCACACATCATTGTCTCCATATATCGTGTGAGGAGCACTGAAGGGTTTGTCCTCCATTTCCAAGTGCTAGTTTAGATCATAAGTGTACCCTGAAAGTTCATGTGTTAAACTTGGTCCCAGGGTGATGCTATTGGTGGACACTTTAAGAGGTGAGGCCTAGTAAGAGGTCTTTGGGTCATTGGGTGTGTACCCTTGAAGAGGACTGTGAGATCTCTGCTTCTTCCTTTCTCTCTTTCTCTCTCTCTTTTTCCTGGCAATAAGGTGAGTGGTTACTCTGCCACATGTTCCTGCCATGATACTGCCTTACCACAGGCCTAAACACAGTGGGCCAACTGATCATGGTCTCAATCCTCTGAAACAATGAACCAAAAGAAATTTTAATAATTTTCTTTTTCTGAGTTGATTATCTCTGGTGTCTGTAATGATGATGGGAAGCTGATGAACATCCCAAATAACTTCAAGTAATTACCAAGTCTGAAAGGCATACTGGTCCTTGGGAAGCCTTTGTGTTCCAGAGTGTCCTGTGCATACTCTCATCATCAGATGTAATCCATGCATTTAATCACCTGGCATTGAAGTCCCTCATTTACTTAACTCACTTGTTTGTAAGGCATTGAGGGAAACAAATGTATTCACCTTTGCATCCTCATGGCTGGCACTGTGCCTAGTAAAGAAGGGATTCTGTGGCCTTCTTTGAGGCACTTCACATTAGACTATAAGTGGTCTTGAAAAAAATTTTTTTTGTTTCTATCAAACCACAGTTCTCTCTCTCTCTCTCTCTCTCTCTCTCTCTCTCTCTCTCTCTCTCTCTCTGTGTGTGTGTGTGTGTGTGTGTGGTGCTGGAGATGGAATCCAGGGCTTTATGCATGTTATACAAGCAGTCCACCAACTGAACTATCGCCTCAGCCCACAATTAACTACTTAATTAATTCAAGATTACTGAATGGCTGATGCACAATTTTTAACGGAGCCAGGATATAAATAAAAACCACCACATATTGTCTAGTTTTCATGTAGCTGCTGGTAACATATAAATTCTTATATTTTAATAGCTCAGTCTGTTGGAAAGACCCATCTGAATAAATTACCTATAAATCAGTAGTAGTTACTATAACAAATGCACACATGAAATATTATGGGGGCAAAGAACAGGGAGCTGCTATTTGTTTTGGGGATAGTTAGAAATGACTTCCAATGACTTCAATCGGTTCTTGAAGGATGAGTGAGCAGAAATTTTCCAGGGGGAGAATATTCCAAAGTGAGGTGGAACTGGTTGGGAATTCTATTGGAACAATAATAGCAATACAAGAGTGAAAATTCAGTCATTTCAAGAATAATGGGATTTTCTTTTCTTTCTTTCTTTTTTCTTTTTTTTTTAACAGATGCAGAAGGCAGATAAAGAAGTGGTTAATTATATTGAGGGAATAAGACTTGATACTAAATGTACATGTAAGGCTAACGATGGAGGCAGAACCACCATGAGGCCATCCCTCAGCAGATTCTGGGTTTTTCTTTTTAAAAATGGGGTGTCTGCACTCTTTGGATGTTGATTAGAAATGTGGTCTGGGTTTTCTCCATGGCAGATTGTAAATCTATATTTTAGTCAGGGATTTGCTCTTTTGGATTAATATATAATGTCCTTGAAAGCCCTCAATTCTTTTCTTTCTTATTTTTTTTTCCTAAGGTGGGGAAAAACCTTCTTTAAAAAGCTACATGATAGTGCTGTATTTAGCTCATTTCAACAAAGGTCACAGCATTTCTGAGTAGTAAACACTATTACTAGATCTTTCCAGTGTCTGGGTGTTTGGCAGCCATGCCTCCATCTGGAATAAATGACTGGAACTCCAAGGGTGTAGGACAGCTGTGGGCCTGGGAAGCCTGTGGGCATCTGGAAGAGGCAGATGCATCCTGTTTCTCCTCAGCCACAGCCAGGAAGAGAATCAAGGCAAAACTCTCTCTTTTGCTCAAATCAGCCAGACTATTGAGCAAGTTTAAAGCCTGTCTGGTCCACAGGTTTTATTTTGGCTTTAGAAACCAAATGGATAAGAGGAGATTTATTGAAGAAGCTGCTGTCAGGAATCTAGGATTACTTTCAGTTGCAGCCTAGCAGCACCTGGATTCTATTCCTAGGATATTTCCTCCTGTGAGGGTAATATCAGCAATTAATATACTTGTATTTGTAAAGCTTTATTCTTTAGGGAATATCCAACCCTTGGGAGAGGTCAGCTAATTAATTTCGGCAATGTTTCAGATTAGACTGTTGTGTGTTTTATGACTTTGAAGATAACAATGATTATTAAGCTGTAAAAATATGAAATCATTTTTGTAAGGAGTCCCAGTAAGGAAGTAATAGAAAACAGTCAAAGAAGTTGGATATTCTAAGAAAGACTTTTCACCCCTGCCTCAGAGCAGGACCCTCAGAGGAGTGGCCACCCAGCTGTGAAGCAAGGGGAAAAATTACAAACACAAACAATATTATCAAAAGAAAAGCAATACGCTTCAACATTCTAAGGAAACCCACATTACTCTAGAGATGATCTGAAATCATCTATATCTCTGGAACTCAGAGACAACTTCTTAGCAGCTTTGAAGCCAGTGATTGGACAAATGCCTTTCATTTGTGGTGGTGGAAAAGTCACTGGACCCTGACCCATGAACACTTGGGTTTGAGCATATCTTCCTCAGTCATGAGTTCTTAACCTTGGCAAGATACTGGGCACCTCAGAATAGCAATGCTCTCAATTATGGAATGATTAATAATTGCCCAAACAGTAGACTCTTCTTTTCACCTTAAGAACCAGTCTCCTGGTTCAAGAAGCTCATCTTTCACTCAAATCACTGCTACTGACTTCCAATGAGTCTCCTCTAGTTCATGCCTGCTCAGGTACTATGTCTTTTTCATATAGCTCTTGGAGTGGTCTTTTAAATTTCTATTCAGTTTGTGTTATTCTTTTGCCTAAAATCCTCTACGAGAATCCATTGTATTTAGAATAAAGAACAAACTCCTTACCATGGCCTTCATGACCTTGCATGGCCCTTGCCCACCCATCGGGCCTCATCTTGCCATAGTATCCTTGTTCACTGGGCTCCAGCCATACTGACTTTTCCACCCCTTGACCAGACAAGACTGCTTTACCTCTGGGCCTTGGCTGTTCAACCATCTTCCCCATTTCTGAACGTCTCTTTTATTTACTCCTTCAGGTCTTAGGTCAAATAACTTCTGTTCAGAGAGGTCATCCCTGACTACCGTATTTAAGGTAGCATCCTCTGCCACTTTCTAACATTTTTTTTCATTCACAGCAATTATCATAATGTGAATTTATCTTGTCTAGTTAATTGTGTAACTATTTATTATAATTCTCCCCCCCCCCAAGACTGTCAGCTCTGTGAGAAAAAAATTTTTTTTCCTTGTAGTGCTGGGGATTGAACCCAGGGCCTAGTCCATACGAGGCAAGCATTCTACTCAGTCCAAGAAACAATGTTTTATCTATTGTTTTTTACTGAGCATTCCCAGGATTTAGAATAATACTTGACAATCTTAGTATCTACTAGGTACTCAAAGAGTTTATACTTTTTTGGATGAATAGTGAATGCATTTAAAGGTGATTATGCATATGGAAGTGTTGAGCCCACAAAATGCTTTAATTTGCTCTTGCATTCTTCTTCTTGGGGACTTGTTCTGGGATAAACTTCTCTTGACCAATAGGAAATAATGATAATAATAGTTAATACTTATGAGTTTCAAGTATATATGGGACACTGTTCTAAGTGCTTTTAATGAATTACCTCATTTATCAACCCTCTAAATATATACTGTTATTATTCTAATTATTAAGATGATTAGACTAGAGAACAGACGGTCAAGTAACAGAGGAACAAAGCTAGTGAGTGGGAAAACTAGGATATAGACTCAAGCAATTTAGTCCCACAGCTATGATCTTATCTTTAACTTACTCAAATACCCTTTGTTAACCTAGCATTCAAGTTTTTAACAATCTGGTAACAGCCAACTCTCCCAACCTCTTCTCTCACTAACCTCCTTCATTGACTAGTTCATTCATTTATTCATTTGATACACATTGAATGTTTATCTACCTTCTGCAGGTCACTGACCTAGGTCCTAGGACTACACAGCTAAATAACCTAGTATCCTTCTTCAGGTCTTCTGAGGTAAGGGAAAGGATGCTTGGAAACATGAACATCCTTATTTTACCAATGCTCTTAGCACAATTAAGCCTTTGATAAACTCAAGCAGGGAGTTTACTTATTTTATAACCTCAAATTGTTCTTTTATGACAAGGGATGGATTTCAATATTTATGAGGTGTCTTCTAGATACCTGATTTCTCCAAACACTGCTCCAGCTTTCAGGGTAACCAGAACTTTAGTACCATCAGGGCCTCCAAGGACTTGGACTTCTCCATGCTTAATGATATACATTTCTTTACCAATTTCTCCCTGTATGCCAAATATAAAGAGGAAATCTTAGTCATTGTACACTTAACAATTATACCTCAAATTAATAAATATAAACTCTTCTAGAGGAGCAAATACAAATGAAGGAAGCGCAGAACATGATTGTAAAAGCAGTTTTCTTAAGACCTCTGTTACAGAAACTGTTATGTGAAAGGAAATGATTGGAAAGAAAATACTTCGCAACACTTGAGCACTGTAAGCCAACACTGGACACAGTCAGCATACTGCCGGAGGAATGGGCATGAGTAGAGAAAATAACTGATTGGATGAATGATGTACTCTGGTTTTGGTGACCACAGTTATCCTCTGAAGAAGGTACTTGATCCACCCAAAAAGCATGGACTATAGCCATTCCAAGGTGAATTCTGTCTTTCTGCCTATGCCACTGAGTCTGATTTTGGGAATCAAGACACAGGAGACCTTTAAGCTATTAATTTTGCTCCATATTGAGAGATGCTAATGCACCAAGTTATCTTACTCAGTTCTTGTTTATCTTTGGAAACTCCTGGGAACCAGGGAAATGACCTGTAATGTCCCTAGAATTTGTCTCTTGGGATATTCACATGGTCCCAAGTCAATGGTGTTATTCTGTATGTCTGAGGCAGTGTGGCAGCTGTCTGCATTCTTTAATGTAAACACATGATTTTTGATGTGTCCCTTATACCTGGTTTTGAGCTTGGATCATGACTGTCATTTAGTTAAATGACTAGCCTCATTTAAGTACTCTGGACTCAATACTCAGATTTCTCCAAGTGCACATATTTTTCTCATGGCCCTGTGGTACAATACAGAGAAAAATGCATATACATGTGGCCTTCATAGAAGTAGGGCCTAGAATGCCTGTGACTGATTTCTCTAGTCTTTACTCCTGTACATCTTTTTCTAACTGTTCCTGACGATCCTTTACTGTAATAAATCTTAAGCTATGAATATAACTTTTTGTTGAATTATGTGAATCCTTATTGTAAATCATTGAAGTAGTGGGTAATTATGGGGTCCTTGGACACATCTCAACTTCCAGAAAGAATAAATGTGTCCACCTTAGTGAAATTTAGGTCAAGAGAAGCTGTTAAATTCCCAAAATCCAATTTGCATAATAGTAGACAAGTTATTTAGGTAGGTCCATCCCTTCATTCATATTAAGTAAGGTCTTCATCTGTCTGAGCTCTTTCTGTGGTCTGAATGTGTCCTTCATTAACTTCATATGTTAATGGAGTTGGAGGTGGGATCTTTTCTAGGTGATTAGGTCCTAGGGGGCTCTGCATTCTTGAATGGACCATTTATGGGTCAGTGGATTATCACCAGAGTGGTGGTTGTCATAAAAGCAGCTTTTTGTGGTGAGCTTGCTCTGACTTGCCATGTGATGTCCTCTGCCATATACTAGTGCAGCAAGAAGGGCCTCACCAGATGCTGAGCAGATGCTGGTGCCATGTGCTGGGACTTTTCAGTCTATAGAACTGTGAGATAAATAAACCCTTATTCTTTGTAAAATTACTCTGTCTGTGGTATTCAGTTATACAACAGGAAACAGACCATAAACAAGTAGCAGGATTATAATAAATTTACTTACTTGGTTTAGGAAGGGATTGGATGGAATTAATCAAACAAACATTCTTATTATTTATACTTCCAGAGGATTAGATAAAATACATTAAAATCAATTTAAACAATATTAATTATGGTTTATGTCTGAGATGGCTGAGACAATGTCTACTTTGTTCCAGTGCTGAGCACAAGGCTTGATGCCGCAGTCTGGCTGGGCACAATTCAGGAGCCACTTGTCAAAAGAAACGAACTTTATTTTTAGAACCACACACACCAAACAAAACAGCTCCTCAGGAAAAACCCTCAGAGCCCAACTGCCACCACCGGCTTCCCACAAGCCTCTCTCCCAACCACAAGCCTCTCCGCCTCCCACAGTCCTCTGCGGTGATGCTCACTGGGCTGTTTCCCCGCCCTTTCAGACTGCCAGCTGATGATTGGCTCACAGCGGCCCCAGCAACATCTAGCTGATTGGCTCCTCTGCGGTGATGCTCATTGGGCTGTTTCCCTGCCCTTTCAGACCACGGAACTGCTCATTGGGGGATTATTTTGGCCCTGCCCATGCGACTCAGCCAATCAGCCTCAAGAGCAGGAGGATTGTGGGAGGTGGAGAGGCTTGTGGTTGGGAGAGAGGCTTGTGGGAAGCCGGTGGTGGCAGTTGGGCTCTGAGGGTTTTTCCTGAGGAGCTGTTTTGTTTGGCGTGTGTGGTTCTAAAAATAAAGTTCGTTTCTTTTGACAAGTGACTCCTGAATTGTGCCCAGCCAGACTGCAGCAGCTTGATATATAGTAGGTACTCTTTTATGAATAAGGGAAATACAATTGTATCTGGGAAGTTTTGAAGTCCCTTGATACCTACGGTTATATTCCTCAACATTAAGTGTATTATAATTATTAGACTGAGTTTAAAGTTGTCAGATTGTACTTTTTGGTTGATATCTGGGAAATGGAAATTCTCATTTTATCTCCCCATTACCTTCATGAGGAACATAGAATAGGAACTGTCATTTCTACTCTACCAAAAAGAAAGCCAGGTGTGATGGTGCACACCTGTAATCTCAGCAGCTCTGGAGGTTGAGGCAAAAGGATTGTGAGTTCAAAGCCAGCCTCAGCAAAAGCAAGGTGCTAAGCAACTCAGTGAGACCCTGTCTTCTAAATAAAATACAAGATAGGGCTGGGGATGTAGCTTAGTGGTCGAGTGCCCCTGAGTTCAATCCCCAGTATCACCCGTCTCCCCCCCTCCCCCCCCCAAAGAAAACAAAGGCACAGATTGACTTAGCTGAGTAGTCAATATTCTATGACTTGGTAATTTGAAACAAAAGGAAGCTGAGAACCCACATTTTCTAACTGAGCAGTGAAAGAGGTATGTTTAACTTTTATATTGTGTAACATATTAAGCATTTATTTAAAATTATATTTGGATCAAAGTAGAAATTTCAATATATAAGATTTTTATTATAGTTATTTATATAATATCAATACCTCTACTAATAGTTTGCCTTTGCATAGTACTTTTAAAAATAATGAGGGGCTGGGGTTGTGGCTCAGTGGCAGAGCATTTGCCTGACATGTGTGAGGCACTGGGTTCAATTCTCAGCACCACATATAAATAAATGAATAAACTAAAGATCCATCAACAACTAAAAAAACAAAAAAATAACGAGTACATTTGATATTTGTGTAGTGGTTTTTTCTTGATACCAGGGATTGAACCACTAGGCCATACCTCCAGCCCTTTTTATGTTTTATTTTGAGACAGGGTCTTGCTAAGTTGCTAGGGCTGGCTTTGAACTTGCTATCTTCTTGCCTCAGCCTTCTGAGCTGCTGCCATTATAGGCATGTGCCACCATGCCTGGATTGCATAGCTTCTTATTTTATTTCCTGCATTTGTTCTATCAGAATGTGCTGTTTTATATTGGAAAGCATTTCATAGACATGAACTTGTTTAATTCTTGCAAAAATCCCAGTGAGATCAAATAGGGAAGGTATCATTACTCTTATTTAAAAATTTGTAGTAGAGGTTTAGAAAGATACGTGTCTTGCACAAAGTTAAAAGATCGGCTGGTGACAGCACTAGAACTGGCAACATCTATGTCACCTCACATGCCTCACATGCAGATGACCATATCCAACATGGGATCCAACATCCAAGATTCCTCTCTTAAACATGAATAAAATAAATATAAATCATTTAATTTATTAATTTTGGCATACTAGGGATTGAACACAGGGGTGCTTTACCACTGAGTTACATCCTTTCTGTTTTTTTGTTTTGAGACAAGGTCTTACTGAGTTACTGAGGTTGGCCTCAAACGTGATCTTCTTATCTCAGCTTTCTGATTCACTGGGATTTATAGGCATATGACATAGTGCCTGGGGAATGATTTTAAAAGTAAGGCAAAGCATTTGAAAATTAGTTTTCCAAGGGGTACACCAGGAAGTAATGATCAGGACAGGGTCACATTCTGTGTTTTTTGCATGAAGTAGTTCTCAAGGAACTGGAATGATTTTTTAAAGGCAGTTATTACAACTGACTGGAGGTAGAAGTACATAATGGGTGCTTAAATATAGTTCAGCACTTTTAATTATTTCTTAATGATCATTTCAATAATTTTCCAAGGAGATCTGGCATAATCAACGAACCAAAACTTCCACTATTTCTTGCATATTTCTAGGCTAATTTAAACCTTTCCTGCAAGTTTAATTAGCATTCAAATGAAGTAGGCATCCCTCAGAGAATAAGGGCTGAGAGCTGTGCAAAATAAAATGGAACCAAGCTCTGAGGCTGGTGTATGAACTGATTCCAAGAAAGTGGCAGAAGTGCAAGTGCATCATGAAGGGTGTGCAGCCTTTAGTGAGATCCAAGTTGGAATTTCAGGGTTCCTAGTGGAAGGCTATTCCAAGGCTGGTGGGGGCATTATGAAACTCAAGTGAACTCTATCAGGAAACAGCAGTGCTACTCACAGTGTGGTTACTGGATCATTAGCATCACTTAAGAGCTTATTTAGAGGTGCAAGTTCTCAGGCCTGCTTCAGAAATATTAAATCAGAATCTCAGGGAATGAAATCCTGGGAGTTTTAAGATCTCTGGCACCCTATGCACAATGGTGCACCCTTGTGATCGGAGTGATTTTGGAGGCTGAGGGAGGAGCAAGTTCAAAGCCAGCCTCAGTGATGGAGTGAAGCTCTAAGCAATTTAGCAAGACCCTGTCTCAAAATAAAAAACATAAAAAAATGAACTGGGAATGTGGCTCAGTGGTTAAGTGCCCCTGGGCTCAATCCCAGTACCAAGAAAAAAAAAAAAAAGATTTCTGGGTAATTTCTACATTGCTGTAGAACATCCCAAATAGTCTCAAAGCAGTCCAAACAACCCACTCAGTAACTTTAGAGACTATTTTGAGGATTTGACCCTTTAGCAAACTCAATCCTAAACCCTGCCACTTCTTCAATTATTTTGGTAACCTGAAATTGAACCTGATTTTTTTTTTCACCTTCATATTTCCTATAGTGTTTTTTGGAAATGATAAGCAAAAACCAGTGTGAACTAGCTGTCTAAAGTCTGGACAAGTAACAGCCCTTTTTCTCTATCAAAAAGAAATGTGACTTATAGTTCTCATGTGGTCTCCTTTCTACCTTTCCTTCCCTCGGCGTTGTTCACTGATCTGTTTTTATTATTGGGTGATGAATGCGGCACGATGAAAACATTAGAAATGAGAAAGTTGTATCTCTACTCTGCATTTCACACTTCGTTAAGCAAAATTTTACTGCTTAGGGGCCCAAGTGCTAAAGTTTCTATGAGTCATCTCAATTTCCAGTCCCTGCTGCTATTGGAACAAATTGAAAAGCCATTTTGGTACATTAAGACCATATCATTTCAATGCATCACTGCCCCAAGGGGTCCTTAAATTGCACTGTGGTTTATATTTCCCATTCTAATGAAATGATTTTACCGATTTACCTACCTTTTTTTTTTTTTTAAGGATTGAAGATCAAACCCAAATGCTAGGCAACATTCTACTCCTGAGCTTCAAACCCAGCCCTTTTTAATTTTTATTTTGAGATAGGGTCTTGCAAAGTTGCCTAGGCTGGCCTGGAACATGCAATTCTTTTGCCTTAGCCTCCCTAGTGGCTGTGAATACAGGCATGTGACACAGTGCCTGGCTTAGTCTGCCTACTTTTAACTGGGACAAGTTTGTGTGGGATTGTGTGTTCTTGGTTTCCTTTATGCTACAATCTCTTCTTGGTTTCCCTTCTTTTATTTCTGACAGTTCCTCCTCAACTGCCTTCTCTGAGTATTCTTCATTGATCTCCTTCATGTTCTTCACTGACCTTCATGTTCTTCAAAGTTACAGCTTTAGCCTTCTTTGTCTTACCTTTTTCTCGACTTGCTTTTGAAGTCAGCTTCCACTGTTCGGCAGTGCCCAAACATTTGCCATCAACTACCTATCATCAGACTGATTTCCACCTGTCATCTGGTACCTCCAGTCTGATACTTTCAGTAGTTTACAGTCCATTTGACTTGCTTTTTTTCACTAGTTCAATCACTCACATGCTTCCTCCATTCCTTGGATATGCGAAGCTCTGTTTTGCCCACTGGTCCACCGTCTTCTCATCAAAAATGCTATCCTGTACACTGGCTTTTTGTCTGTTAGCTTTTAAAATTTTTATTAAAGAACCATTTTAATTCCTTCGATTTTACAAAGGTCATGCCTGAGAAAATGATAATTTCCCTCTCTCCCAACCTCCGATGTAAATTACATGCCTTTGCATACTTTCCTGGCAACTTTAATTTCCCCTTTATATGATACATTCTGGAGTAAGGCATTTATTTAATTTCATTTATATTGTCGATTTTCTCTTCCCTAGGCCAGTGTTTCTTAACCTTGGCTACATTTTAGAGTCATATGGGAGCTTTTACTAAATGCCAGTGTGGAGGCTCCATCTCCCTCGGTGGGGAGTCGAGACTTTTATATTCAGGTGATTCTGATGTACACTGTGAATTGAATCCATAGTGCTAGACTGTAAGCCCCTGGAGGACAAGACCAGCTTTTTTCTCTCAGTACTTAGCATAGAGCCTGCCCCAAGGTATTCAAAAAGATTGGTTGAGTTTTGCTAAATAAATAATTCTAAAACTGTATTAATATTTACCTTCTTGTCGTCTTCTGAACTCCTGCTGAAGACTCTGTTCCTTCCTGTCTGCCTTGGCTCATACCAGTTCTTTCGTCTCCCAGAACACCTACTTCCTTTCTGACTTGGTTCATTCCAACTTATCTTTCAAGACTTAGTGTGCACATCTTCAGGAAATCTTGCCAATAGCCAGGAGGGACAAGTGCCATTTCTTTATGTCCTATGACACCTTGTACTTACTTCAGTGTTACTTTGGAATGAAGTAAGTGCTTCTTATCCTCACTGGTTTCTGAACTTCCACGGTCTTGGATCCACTTCCATTTCTTTGAACTGTTTATGTTCTTCTATTTTTTTTTAAATTTTGATTATTGATTTCAGCTTTGAGTTAGCTTCTCCAGATATGAAAACCAGGGTCATCCTTCTCTGATCAAAGCTAGTGATCAGAGATGTGCAAAACTATTTATCCAGGGGAATTTTTGTTTTAGAGTTACTTATAACAACAATCATTTGGAATCTTATCATGATATATCCATAGACCAGAATATTTTGCAGCTTAAAAAAATCAGTTAAGCCAGGCATGGTGGCACATGCCTGTAATCTCAGGGGTTTGGGAGGCTGAGGCAGGAGGATCATGAGTTCAAAGGCAGCTTCAGTAACGGCAAGGTGCTAAGCAACTCAGTGAGATCCTGTCTCTAAATAAAATACAAAATAGGGCTGGGGATGAGGCTCAGTGGTTAAATGCCCCTGAGTTTAATCCCTAGTACCATAAAGAAAAACAATCAGGTTATAAAAGATTATATAATAATATGTAAAATGTTAATATGATATACTGTCACATGGCAAGTTTCAAAACATATATATGGTATAATATTGATTTCATAAAACAAGCTCTATCTAGCTATCAACCTTTATAGAATGATAGAGCAAATATATGTATAACGATTACTTCATATTATGGTGGTGGAATTTTTGTCTTTGTGTTTTATGTATTTTCTATTTTACAAATAATGACTATCAATTACTTTTGTAATCATCAAATACACAGTAAAGTTTAAAAAATATGGCATTGATTACCACTAACTAGCTGAGCAAAGCATAGGTAAATGATGATTTGCTGAAGACATAGGGAAGAAATACCTATTGCTTCTGTAACTTATTCCTCCACCTAAAATATTTAAGGTTAATGGGGTGTGGTGATTGGTAATTTACATTGATATAAAGCACATTTTCTGATTATCAAGGTTTCTATTATATAATAAATGTGATGAAATCTGCATTGTCTTCTTTCATTTTGAAGTCTAAGAGGAGCTTATTGTTTTACAGCACCAAACATCATAACTACTTCTATACTATGAAATTCACCCTGGACAGATTTTGTCTCAACTGTGCTCACAACCTATGTCTGGATTCTGCAAATGTGCTTATTAGTTGTGCATCTGAAAATAGTATGCACTCACCTTTTTGCAGACAAAGTCACCAGGTAAATAGATAGTGGATTTCAATCTTAGCAACATGTCATAAATCATCTGGTTGTCACAATTCTATATAAAGAGAAAAATAATTCTTACAGACCCAGCAAAATGCCAATATCCCAAATGAATTAAAAACACAATGGAAGTAATGGATGCTGTCTGTATTAGCAACTAAAATATTAGTTGCCAGTGGATATGGATTTGACCCAAAATTTGGGAAAAAAGATACCTAAAGTATAATGACAAGACTTTGCAACTTGATCAGGTAGGTCTGGTGAGAATTCTGTCTCTACTACCTATTATTTTGCAATCTCTCATGCTCTCAGTTTCCTAATTTGTAAGATGGTTATAGAAATGGTGCTTATCTTATAAGTTAAACTTAGCATGGTTCTTAATCAATGATAGCTATTAATGATTGTGATTATTAGTATAATAGTACTCAAATAGATCACACTCTTTGCAGATTTTTTAAAAAATATCGTCCTTTTATACCATTGCTACATATTATTTAACTTTGCAAACTTACATGTCTTTCTTTCCCAACTTGATTATCATTTTCTTAGAGGCAGGGAAAATATTCATAATAAATTGGTATGAAAGAAATATCTGCTGAGTGAATGAGTATAGTCACCTTAATAGTATAAGAAACAAATTTTATTTGTTAAAATAAATGTCTCTTTGTGCATCGGGTCTAAATTAATTATAATTTATATGATGAACTGAAGAAGAACTTATGAGTATTTCAATAATCCCATTTTACATAGTGGCTTTGCACCTTTTGCTTTCACCTAATATTTTTATCTTTTCTCCCAGAACTGCTCACATGTAGCAATTTTCCTTTTGTAGTTGGCCCTGCTCACCCCTTAGGGGAATTATGATTTTGTAGGGGAATAATCATAAAATAGGTAGTGGAGGAAGGAGGAGGAGAAGCAGAGGGCCTGCCCCCAATTTGTGGATTGACTGATCCTTCCTTTAGTAATCACTGGTTTTCAGTAATGGTTTCTGTAGCAGACACTTGACCTAGATCCATATGAAATTTAGACCTCAGGGTTGCTTGGCCGATAAAGAAAGTTAATCATTTATGACTGAAGTATCTTCAAGTACCCATTGGTGAAAAACAGTCGGAAAAACTTGGTGTTAGAATTTTAAAAATTCATTTGAGAAAGGATAGCTTCTGGTTCTCCAAAATGGAAAAAAGACCAAGGCCAGGAGGAATAACTTTTGTTAAAAAAAAGAAATTATAGTCCTTCAAACATATTAATTGTACCAATTAATGGATTTCACGGTGACATTTCCATTCACTTGTATGTTGGGTTTGGATTGAATTCACCCTCCCTCTTCCTGCCTGCCTCAGTCCCCCAGGAGTGGCGTAGCTGGGTCTTAGGATAAATCTATTTTAAGAGTTTTTGAGGAACTTCCATACTGATCTCCGTAGTGGCTGTACTAATTTACATTCTCACTAACAGAATATAAGGGTTTTGCTTCACATCCTTGTCAACATTTATTTATTTATTTATTTATTTTTTGGATAATTGCCATTCTGACTATAGAGAGGTAGAATCTTAATGAAGTTTGGATTTTGCATTTCCTTGACAGCTAAAAATGTTGAACATTTCCTCATGTGTTTCTAGGCCATTTACACTTCTTTTGCAAACTGTCTGTTCAGATCATTTGCCTCTGCATTAATTGGATTATTTGTTATTTGTTGTTACCTGTTTTTTGAGTTCTTTAGGTATTTTAGATATTAATCCTCTGTCAGATGAATAATTTGATTCCCACCTTTTCTATTTGTATCCCTCTTATTTCTTTCTCTTTAGACTGATGGCTCTGGCTAAAACTTTAAGTACTACAGCAAATAGATGTCTTACAAGCTATTATTTTTTGCTAAAGCAGATCAAAGACAATTTTTTTTCAAAAAAGTGTTTTTAGTAAAAAAGTAAAAAAGTTGTTTTTAGTAAAAATTCTCTAAATGACTCATTTGCCCAATTTCTTTATATGCTGTCATCATTTCAGAATTGTTTTATTTCAGAAATTAGCATTCTTATCAGTCAAAACTCACTTAGAAAAAAACGCAAACTTGCTTTTTAGATCTTCTCCACTAAGAAAAGTTAGCATCTTTAACATTTTAAAGAAAATCTATTAGAAATATGCTTTCAGGTTCTTAAACATATACAGTCATCCCTCCCTCAATGTCTGTGGTAATTGGTTCAAGGATCCCTTGTAGACACCATCTGTGGATGTCACAGTTCCTCATTAGGAAATGGCACAATGTTTGCATATAACTTACAGACATCTTTCTGTGTACTTTAAACTATTTCTAGGTTACTTATAATACCTAATGCAATGTAAATACTATGTAAGTAGTTCTTGCATTGTTTAGCAAATCATTGCAATCAAAAAGGATTGTATATGTTTTGTAGAAACACATTTTTCCCCTAATATTTTTGATCCAAGTTTGTTTGAATCTGCAGATGTAGAACCCACAGATAACAGAGATGACTATACATGTCTGAGATGTTATTGTAATCGAAATAGCTCATACCCATGGAGCAGATGTGCATTATAAATGATCAGAAATAGAAGATCTCAAAAAACCTACTTATATTTATTTTCATATTTGATTTTATTTGTAATTAAAATTTGTGGATAAAACTACTAAATGGAAAATTCCAGAAACAAACAATTCATAAATTTTAAATTGCCCATCATTCTGAGTAGTATAATGAAATCTTAGGCTCTCCAGCTCTGTCTGTCCCAGAACACGAATCAGCTCTTTGCCCAGCATATACCTGCTATATGTGCAACCCACCATGATTCTTTTAGGAGCATCTCAGCTATCGGATGGATTGACTGTTGTGGTGTCTCAGTGTTTCTGTTCAAGTTAATACTTATTGTAGTTAATAATGGCCCCAAAGTGCAAGACTAGTGATATAGGCCATTTGGTAATGCCAATAAGAAGCCATAAAACACTTCCTTTAAGTGAAAAGGTGAAAATTCTCAACTTAAGGAAAAAAAATTCATTGTATGCTGAGGTTACTGAGATATATGGTAAAAACAAATCTTTTATCCATGAAATTGTGAGTAAAAAAAAAAAACTCCTTCATGCTGGTTTGTTGTACCTCAAATTGAAAAAGTTACAGCTACTGTGTATGATAGATGCTTAGATAAGATTGAAAAGGCATAATTATTGGTTTTATAGCATCCACCGGGGATCGTGGAGTGTATCCCTTATGGATAAAGAGGGTCTAAAAAATTGAAGAAATTGTCAATGTATAGGTAGATTAAATAATAAAATTTGAGTATACTGGCTAAAATATTTGTAGATGAGAATATTGTCAAGAGGTTAAAATAAATCAAATCTTTACATTGATATACCTAATGAAACTCAACGAAGTTGTCTGAATGTAATATATTCAATATTACAAAATCACAAAAATTACCACACAAAATACTTCCTGCTGTTTATGTTTATACAGATAAAAAATAAAATTATAAAAATAAGAATTAAAAAGACAACCTTAAAAATCATTTTAGTGGCTGCCTCTGGAGAGGGAGGATGGAAAGTGAATCTGGGGAGAACTGATGAGACTTCAATTTATTTTTTTTGTTCCTTTAAAATTTTAATGGAAATGAAAATAAAAATTTCTCTTTCTCCATGGAGAAACACATTTCATTTTTTCTCTTCTGTCCTTCAGGCAAGCTCACTGGGAGAAAGGACTAATAAATGATACCAAATCAATGGAAAGTGTTAGACCAACTGAGGAGACAAGCCCTAAAATAGCTAAACACACAATTAGTGCTCTGCTCAGTAGGAACACACAGCACTTACCTCAATGGTTTTTAAGCTCATAGTTTGGATTTTCTGAGAGAAAAGCATTGAACTATTCTAAACATGGCTTTTTTGTTAACATAATTGGATAGAACATGGATAAATCATGCAAACTGAACATAGCAAATGTATGTAGTAAAAATTTGGAATTTGTTTTACTAATTAAGTGACTCTATCTCCTAACTATTGCTTTATTGAAAGGTGCCACTGGCTTCGGGCAGCTGTGCTTAAAGACTAAATCCTTCTCATCTGGATTTACGCTTAGTGAAATGAAGTTTGCATTATGATATTCTTCCATTTTATGATGTGTTAGAAAACTATTATCTTTTTCTTTTTTTCTCCACAAAAATCTTTATTTTCTTGATACACTTTGCCCCATTTGTAAATAATTAAAAAGAACTATATCTTGGGGTTGGGTGGGTTTTTTGTTTGTTTGTTTGTTTTGTTTTGATTTTCCTTTTGACTTAGCTGCATTTCTTTGATAGAAATCATTAGGAATTTTTCTGATTTGCAGAAAATCAGAGCACAGCCATTATTTTGCAAATGTCCTATTTTCTGTAAAGTAAGAGTACCAGTTTAGGCATCAACATTAACACATTATTGCATGATGTTTCCATTAAGTTTACTATTTTGCTAACTTAACCTGTTTACTTCTTGCAACCTCTGTATGGTGCTTGGCATTAAGGAATGCATTCTCATCAGTCCTGGTTTTTAGATGAAGGATCAAAGTCTCTTGGAGGTCCATTGACTTTCCAGAGTGTCAGAGGAAGTTTTTATTTACATCCTGAGTAACTTGAGATTAAGATGTTTGTATCATTCACTGCTGCATCCCCAGTGTCTCAGGAGGGCTTGGGACATGTAAAATACTAAATAAATATGGGCTGATGTATAGAATAATACTGTTAGAAATTATTTCATTTTGGACAATTAAAAACTGTGTGTTGCATACTTGAGTAAAGATTCCAAAGATTTGAATGGAGCTGGAGGAAATCCTGTTTTTATTCAAAACATAATCTATAGGTTAAGTAGTAGTTTCTGTACCTAGGAGATTCTTCTTTAATAATAACAAACTCTGAACACAACAGTAAAATTAGTAAAACTTATCTTTGGAATGATTACCTTTAGTCTTACCTATCTAGACATAGATAGGATTTATCTATGTCTAGGTTAATTTTTGCTTTCTTTAAAACAGAACTTAAGATATTATCAGCAATCTCACTGTGAATTTAAGTCACCCTCAAGTATATGCGATGGTCTTCAGGGCTTTTTCCAACTCAGCTTTGTTTATTGTAAAAGGAGTGCTTTGTTTTATCTTAAACTCTATTCCCCTCCAACAAGCAAATGTGGAGTTATGTGTCTAGGGCAAGGAATTCTGAATTCAATTGCTTTGTCACTGAGTATGCCAGTGATGCTACCAATTGGGAGCTGTCAAGAGCAGCAGAGTCTAAGGTGGTCAGTAATTTTCCAGGTACCACGATGTCATAGATTATCAATTTAGAGTTTTGAATAGTATTAGACCTAACTCTACACCCAATGTTTTTAGACATCAGAAGATATTTCCTTGAGAACTGACAATAATTTCATTTTCCCAGGAGCAGTACAGAGACAAAGTAGGAAGTCATAAACTTGATGGAAACCTGAGGATAAATCTAATCCATCCTGGAATGATCAAGTAAGGTCACATGAAGAACTTTATTTTACTTGTGTGGCAACTCTCTTGTTGACTGCATGTTTTCTTTCTCAGTTTGTAATAGTAATAACCATAACTTTCTATGTACTGGATACTAATAGCAGCACTTTCTATGTTTGAATCACTTAATAATCACGAAATAACTAAATTGTTATCTTATGCTTATTTAGAATTTCCTCACTATATTGGGAGGCCCTGAAGAGAAAAGACAGTATAGATTCAGTATAGATTCAGTGGTCCCCCGCCCCCCCCCACTGTTCAGCTCAGTCCCTTACACAGAGAAACTACTCAGGTTGTGAAGTTGAATGAAGTTCATCTAAGTTATAAGCTTCCTGTTCAAAATACTTTGAAAAGCCTAGCAATAATCTTTATTACTGATACCATCATGGTAAAAAATGACACTTGGTAAAAATGGTACATAGTTTCACTGTAATGGCTCTGATTTTAGGCCCTGGTGAGTAATGGGTGATGGCATTATCTTGGTAGGATATAACTGCTCAGGAAGGTGAGTGATAGAAATCATTTTCCTGTTCCCATTCTATTCTTGGCTCAGACTGTCATTCACATGCAAATGTTTCCTTTTCATCTTTCTACTGTAGAAGCTAGAGCTTTTCCAGGTACTGTTTGCACATAATAAAAAATGTTTCACAGGTTCCAGTAAGGCATGCTGTTTGGGATGGGTCTGAATTCTTAACAGAGCAGCAAAATAGACACATTGTACCTTCCAGACTGGTGGTAAGTACCAACATTCCAATTTTGGTTTATCTGGGACCCTGGTTTCCTTCTGTTGAGTGGGCTTGCCACCTGCCCACAACCCTGCAAGTATGCAATTTTAATCTTTAACCACGAGGTGGCGCAACAGAACTTTTATTAAATTTTCTCCTATTTCTGGTAATTTAGTGGCAGAGACAAAGTGTGATAAAATACATTTAAAAATCAAAATCAGAATAATAAGTCATCAGAAAGGAGGGAAAATTGCCCAATGTTATAGAAATGAATTGCTCCTTATTAGTTTAATACTTGCGCTGAGCCTCTGGAATGACATAAAATCTGCTTGGAGGAGAAGCCATTTTGTGAAAAATTAAAAAAAAATTATAATGTGGCTCTTCATCTTGAAGCTATTTGAAAACTCTGATCACCCTATGTTGAAGCAGCACACCTTACTAATTAACCACAACTGATTGAAGCAAAGCTTTAGTGAAAATTTGTGACTCTAATTCTACCTGCCTTGATTAAAGGGGAAAGAACACATGCGATTCAGGGTATTTTTTAGTGGAAGAATAGAAAGGTGTGTAGAAATTTAGATCTCTGTATGTGAATTTAGATCTCTACATGATTTGTCAAGTATAAGTCTATGAAAATGGCCAAAAAAGGCTCACTTTAGGCTGAATTTTTGACTCTTGTGAAGCCTCTTCTGGCTCCTCATTGCTTTAGTTTGGATCTGGATTTCCTCCCTAAGCTCCACATGTTAAGGGCTTGTTCCCAGCCTATGGAGCTATTGGGGAAGTTAAGTCACTGAGGGAATGCCCTTGTAGGGGACATTGGGATCCTGGCTCTTCCTTTCTCTGTCTTTTTGCTTCCTGGCCACCGTGAAGTGAATGGGTCTTCTCTACTACAAGGTTCTGGCAATGGTGTACTGTGCTGCCACAGGCCCAAAGCCACAGGGCCAGGAGACCATGGACTGTAACCTCTGGACCTACGAGCCCAAATAAACCTTTCCTCCTTCTAAGTTGATTATGTCAGGTATTTCATAGTAACAGAAGGCTGACTCATATACACATCTATCTTACCTGTTATCTAGATAGAGATGGTAGGGAACTGAAATGTAACATCAAACAGTGGTTAAATTCACAGACTGTGGTATAAGAAAACCTGTGATCAAACTAACTCTATGCTGTTGCATAGAGCTCAGTGACCTCAGTCAGGTAAGCTGTTTGCTTTCTCTGTAAAACAGGGATGGTAACAAAGCTTTTGTAAGAAGTATATTAACAACAAAAATAATTTTCTCATAGTTTTGGAGGCTAAAAGTCTAAGATCAAGGAGTGGGCAGGTCTAGATCCTCTCAGTTTGTAGATGGCTGCCTTCTCACAGTGTCCTCAAATGATCCATCAGCTGTATACACTTCTTTGGTGCCTCTTTGCATGTCCAAATTTCCTTCTCTTATGAGGATACCAGTCAAATTGCATAAAGACCCACCTAATGTCCTCATTTTAATCTTTAAAGATTTTATCTCCAAATGCAGTGATATTCTGAGGTACAAGGGGCTAGAGTTTCAACATTTTAAGTTTGGAGGAGGACACAATCCAGCCTATAACAAGAGTTTAGGTGAGAATCAACTGAAAGAATTAACTGAAAGAAGGTGATGAAGCAACTAGGCAGTGTGGTACACAGCATGCTCTCCACAAGCAGCAAGTATTATTCTTTTTGTGAAGACACATGCATTTATTTTAAACTTCAGGGTCAACAACAGTTGGCTTAATTTCATCCACACAGCTTTGACAGTACTCAGGGCATGTAGGAATTGGGTATATGAAGTGTAAGGTGACAGTTTTGTTGGAATTGAAGGATTATGGACAACATGAAGGACCTTCATGGAACATTGCCCTTAAGATAATTTATGATACTGTGTTATCATTGGTATCATTTACATTACTGTTGCCAAAGGGCATTGTGATACTCACTAATATAGAAAAAATTTTTTACAAGTCCGAAAGGAAAAACATCTAAGACCATTTGCACTGCCAGGATTAATTCAAATATAATGTAAAATTAAAGCAAGAGACTTAAGTCTTTTGTGAAACTGAAGCAGGTTTATTTCACTCAGTATCATTCTCTGGTGCTTACAAATTTCACAAGATCTGTATTCATTCTCAAATTTACAAAATGTAGGAAAGTTCTGAAAAATTTTGGCTGAAGGCTAAAGACAAACTACAACATCTCTTCGGGCATCCTAAAAGAGATATTTATGCATTTAAAAACTTTCAGTATCTTTTGTTAACTCTCTCCTGAAGAACAGAAGGATGTAAAGCCAGACTGCCAATCTCCAAACTTGGTGCTGGATCTGTTAGTCTCTCTGTCTCTTTTCCTGCCTGCCATTCGGAGATATGGAAGATTCTTTTTCAGGGAGAATTCAAGATATGGCTGACAGTCACCCTTCATTATATCCCTGGATATTCTGGTCTCTTCAATGCAGCACCACTTTTTCTTTGTAAAACAAATCTATCTTGTCAGTTTTCTCCTTTGACTATAGGAATTGGGCCCATGTTACACAGCCTGGCTTCAATTAATCTTTCTAGATTCCCTTTTGGTTAGCATCCCACACTCTAGCTCCCCAAGTCTTCTCTTTTAGTGAAGCGGTTTATATTTTTACACACGTGTGAGCCTCTAGACACCCTTACTTTCTCATTCCACAAGTTTCTAAGTGTCCTCTGTGCTCACATCTCTAATGTTCCCTCCTTTGTACACTTGGCTCCCTGGGTACAAAAGCAGCTCTCAGTGAATGAAGTGGATTGCTTCAGAAGCAATGCAAGGGTATTGAGACACAGGGTGTGGGATCACTATTCAACCTATTTCCTTCTTAAAAAGTAACCAATTTGTAAAAAAAATGCCATGAAACTAAGTTTGGAAAGATTCCTACTTATTTCCTACTTCACTTGACTTTAGGAAAAAACAAAACCAAACCAATTTCTTCCTTTGAGCAGAAATATAAATGGAAATGGGTGCTTTCATCTTTAATGGAAATGCCATGAAAGAATTTAAGTTTATATGCAATGTTAGCAAAATGTGAACATTTAACCATTTTTTTCTCAATCAGAGGCAGTGATTTGATGGAGTTTCAAATATATATGTAAGTGCAAAGGAGAAACTATTAGAAAAATTGGTAACTTCCCAAATTGGAGAAAATCCTATAAAAATTATTGGTATTTAAAGTCTTATTTTTCCTCTTTAGGAAAAAAGCAAAGTGTTATCACTTACTCTCAATTGATCTAGACATTAAGGTTTTGAGATTTTAGAGACATTAAGGTTTTAAATCTTACATTTTAAAACACTATCAATTTAATCTAGTGGTGTTCATACACTTTTGACCCCTATGCACAGTAAGACAATTTTGCTGGGTATGGTGGTGAACACTTATCATTTCAACTACTCAGAAAGCTGAGGCAGGGAGTTTGAGGTCAGGCTGGGCAATTTAACGAGACCCTGTCTCAAGATAAAAAATAAAAAGGGACAGGGATGTGACTCAGTGGTAGAGTGCCTAGCACATGCAAGTTCCTGGAGTTAATACCTAGTATTAAAAAAAGATATCTAAAAAAAAAAAAAACACCAAAAGACATACAATTTCATTGAACCTAGAAATACCTACCCTTTCTTAGCATGATGCATTCTGATACTTTCTCTTCCATTTTATATGCTGGTTGTGACCCATTAATTGGATTCATTAACCCCCAACAGATGATAAACTACAGTGTGAAAATCATTTATCTACAGGGACCTGATAACCAATGTAGAATCCCTTTCATAGGCTACCTGACAGAAGACCAGAAAACTCTTTCACGATGCTTCTACTTTTCCTGGAGCATCCATTGTGGGAGAGCTCCCCTCCGAAACTGGAAATTACTTTCCATAATCTTCAAGAATTGATACCAGTGCATCCTCTCTCCCTCCTGCACTCTCTGCCTCTCTAAGGCTTTTAGTAAGCCACTGCTGTGTGTCAGAAATTGCACTGTGTAGCAGATACAGAGACAGAACCAAACTTGGTTTTCCCAGGAAGTTTTACTCTACTTTAGGTGTCTGCACTTTAGGCGTTCACATGAGAAGGCCAAGGGTTGTATGTTTTCTCTCATATGTGGAAGCTGGAGAGGTAAAGGAAAAGAAAGGTGGTAAGGGGATCACATGAAAATCCAAGGAAGATCAGTAGAGGAAAGTGACCAGGGAGAGAGAGGAGAGGAGGAAAGGGAGAAATACTGGGGAGTGATATCGGCCAATCATTCTTATATTGACTGCATGCACAAATATGTAACATCATATCCCACTGTTATGTCCAACTGTAATGTAACAGTAGAAATATGGGAGAAACTGGGGGCTGTGGCACATGCCTGTAATCCCAGCAGCTCCTGAGGCTGAGGCAGGAAGAATACAAGTTCAAAGTCAGGTTTAGCAAAAGCAAGGCACTAAGCAACTCAGTGAGACCCTGTCTCTAAATAAAATATAGAATACGGCTGGGGATGTGACTCAGTGGTTGAGTGCCCCTGAGTTCAATTCCTGGTTACCCACTCCCCCAGTAAAAAATAAATATGGAAGTAAAAAAGAAAAAAGGAGTATATAGCTGAGTACTAGTTTGCTAAACATTATAGAGAAAGTCTCATTTTTGTAAAAAACTTAAGTATCTAGAACTTCCACTGTCCTCGAATGGATTTTTTTCCCACAGTTTCTTCATTATCTATACAATATTTTTGGAGGCCATTCTTCTTCCTTAAAAATGGAAGTATAATTTATATTCGGTGAAATATACACTCTAAAGGGACAGCTGGATCATTTTTGACAAAGGCATATACTTGTATACCTTAACTAGAAAGAAACAATACTCCCTCACCCCAAAATTTCTGTCCTACTTCTTCCTAATCAATATTCCCATTTCTACTACCCACTAGAAATAAACATTGATCTGATTTTTGCTATGGAAGAATAATTTTATAAGATCATTCTTTCATAATTTCTGTGGCCCAAAACTCAACTTCTACTCATACCCTTAGCCAAAGAGACTTAAATTCATCTGCATCCTTCTCAAAATTGGTTGTTGGCAATGTGATGTTAGTGCCGATGTAGTTGAAATAATCAGGAAAACCAATATGATGTCAAAATGTCAGAGAATCTCATACATAACTCTGTTGACTCATGGAATTTGAAGTCAAGTAAAACTCCTAGGTCTGAAATGAATTGTTATAAAACTATTGCTTCTTTTTATGCATTTGTAATATTGTAATTTGGACCTCAGTTTAGAATTTTACTTTTTTGCTGTTGCAGTTTAATATTGTTGGCTTTGCTCATAGTGTTAAGTATTCAGTTGATTTCAATTTTGTAATTAACACATTTTAAACTATTCCTTTCTACTTTGTGTCATCTGCCAATTTGAATATCACACCTTTTATATCTTCATCAAAATCTTGATGGAAATCTAGACGAGGATTTGATGAACAAGAGTCCTAGGATATTGACCCAATTCTGGTATCCTAGAGAGTCATCTGTTAACCTAACTTTGGGAGTAACTCTGCTTAACCATTCTGTGGTATAGTTTCTTTTTTGTTTTGTCTCCAGTGGTATGGTAGTGATTATGTATTTTCAAGGCATATGCTTTTGTGTAGATTACATTTTCTTTTCTGTCTACATTCACTTTTTAAGTGATCACATTGAGTACCATAGCTTGAAAGACATCAAAATGCTGATAGGTCTAAATTTATTGTTCCAGTTTGGACTTCTATCATGAACTCAGAATAATAAATCAAACCGCCCACCTGACATTTCCATCTGGGACTCTTAACAGTCACCTCAAATGAACAAGTCTATCTTAGTCTGTTTGTGTTGCTATAACAAAATACCATATACTGTATAGTTGATAAATAATAGAACTTTGTCATAGTTTTGACTGCTGAGAAGTCCAATGTCAAGGTGTCAGCAGGCTTGTTGTCTGCTGAAGGCTGCTCTCTCTTCCATGGTGGAATTTGTCACTATGTCCTCCGGAGGGGAGAATGTGGTGCACTCATATGGCAGAAAAGCATACCTTTAACCTTGAGCCTTTTTTTTTTTTTTGCCAAGGATTGAAACCAGGTGCACTTAACCACTAAGTCACATCCCCAGCCATTTTTTTTTTTTTTGGGTGGGTGGGGAGGTACCCGAGATTGAACTCAGGGGCATTCAACCACTGAGCTACACCCCCAGCCCTATTTTGTATTTTATTTTTTGAACTCATATTTTTCCTGCCTCAGGCACTCGAGCTGCTGGGATTACAGGTTTGTGCCACCATGCCTGGCCCCCTATTTAGAGGCGGGGTCTCCTTGAGTTGCTAGAGCCTTGATAAGTTGCAAAAGCTGCCTTTGAACTCAGGATCCTCTTGCCTCAGCCTCCCAAACTGCTGGGATTACAGGTCTGCACTGCCTTGCCTGATTTAACCTTGAGCCTTTTCATAAGGGTGCTAATTGCTTAAGGCACACTCCTTATGACTTCACCACCGCCCTAAGGCCATATGACGTTTGGAAGACCGTTGCTCTGGGGATGGAATTTCAACAGAAATTTTGGAAAGGACATTATTCAAGCCCTAACAAGGTTGTTTTCTACCCACCTCAGCCTATACTTACTCTAAAATTTCCTATTTTGAAAGTAATATCTTTGTTCTTCCTGTTCCTTGGAGTCCCTCTGGGTCCTTTCTTGTTTCTAACTGTGTTTATACCAACCAACAGCAAGAACTGCAGGCTCTTTGGAACACAACTAATATTCCGGCCCCTTCTCAGTGATGAGTCTACTGCCCCAGGTCCCATCACTGTCATCTCTTCTGTAGGTAGTTACAATGACTTCCATTTGATCTCTTTGCCTTCCACACCTGCTTCTTGAGGTCTCCAGCCAGCAGGAAAATTGCCCTTTTGAAACTAGTGTCATACTATTTTCTGCTCAAGATCCTCAGTGCCTTGAAAGTCAGAGTACAGTCTATCCAAAATCTACAATGCAGCTCCCAGGCCCTCCATGAACTTGACCCCTTCCACATCCTCCCATTTAGTACTTCTCTCAGGCTTCTCTTGCTTTCCATCATCCTAACTTGGCTTTGGCTCTTCTGGCCTGCTTGCCTTGTTCCTAGCTTAGAGTTCCTCTTGTCCATTCTCCTGTGCTATTCCCCTGCCCGGGCCCTTTCTCTCCTTTCCATATCTGCACATGTCACTCCTTTGCCTCCTTCAGTCCTCTATTCAAATCCTCAAAAGCATTTCATCCCAGAAGCCTTTCCTGAGTAGTACCACCCTCATCTTCCTTAACCTGTTTAATTTTGTTCACAGCATTTTCACCTCCTCATGTAATATATTATTTTGCATTCTCTTTTTTCTGAAATTTAATATATATATATAATTTATATATGTTTTCAACTGTTGTATGCCCACTGGCTAAAATGGTGACTAGAACAGAGTAGGAACTTAGTAAATATTTCTTGAATGAGCTAATTGAATAGATGAATCAGGGAATGCCACACACACAGATTTAAGTCTAAGGAGAAATAAATTTATATGTAGTATAATACATGAAGAAAGGAAACAACAATGGTGAGTGCCGCAGTCTGGCTGGGCACAAATAACCGTGAGGTCGAGCCACTTGTAGATTCAAGCAGGAAGGAACGAACTTTATTTTTGAACTCACTGCGAATGCCACCCACGTGACCCTCGAGGAACTCCCCACGAGCTCAACCAACCCACGCCAACTCTCTAGGAACTCCGCGAGAACTCAAAAATAGCGGGCACCTGAGGCAGCAGGTGGCAAAATGCCAGGCACCATCTTGACCTGGCCGTGGCTCTCAACAGGTGAGGTACTAAGCAACTCAGTGAGACCCTGTCTCTAAATAAAACACAAAATAGGCGGAGGATGTGGCTCAGTGATTGAGTGTCCTTGAGTTCAATCCCCCCCCCTACCAAAAACAAAACAAAACAAAAAAAAAAGAGAGAGAGAGAGAAATTAAGACAAAAATTCTTCTTCCTTTTTTTTTCTTTCTTGAAAAATAAAAGTCTTTAAATTTAAATTTAAATTTGGCCATTTAAAAAGTCTAAATCCAAAGCATTTGTAACAGGAAACTAGATTAGACATGATGCTCTGTCAGGCCAATCTAGGCCTTCAGGCTGACGAAATGTTTCATAAACAAAAATGTCTATTCTTAATGTTTAGTATGCCCAAGGTTTAGAGCTAACCTGTAAAGGCCTGATTCTTATACATTTCCAAGGTATCTTCATAAATGGAAGGAGGTGCACATACTCGCAAAAACAAAACTGTAGAGTATAGTTATATTTAAATTAATGCAAGAAAAGTCTGAAGAACTCTTCTTCTTTGACACCAATTAGAAGAGAGAGGCTTCTAAAGAGTAAGTCGTCTGTTGGGGAGAGACCTGTAATTTATTTGACTCTCATAAATTCTCCAAGTTATTTTGACTTTGTTAAAGCATAAGGAAAAAAATCATAAATACCATTTAAAGCAAGAGCTTAGACATTGCAGGGAAACTGATACGGTACCTTTATATTAATTGTAAAGCACTTGCCTTGAACAATTCTACTTTGCTGATGATGCTGAAGTTCATATCAATGGCGAGGGATAACTGCATTGTACCCGGCAGCGTCTCAAGCAAATCAGACTCATCTTTGTAAAGATAAACACATTGACCCATTAAACAGAAAAGTTAATGAAAGTACAAGTAGAAAATTTAAAAAATAAAGAAAATAAAATGCAAAGTTTTATAGATAAATGCATGTATCACATTCTATATTTTCATTATATCTATTGGACCTATGTACCTAACACAACATGACTATTATGCTCATGGGAGGAAAGAGGTAGTTTACAAGAGATGACATATTGAATAATCCCCAAACTTTGTGTTTGCTGAAATCATAGATATGAAATTTAATGATCATGAGACAAAGGCTAGTGTACAAGCTGAGCTGGGAAAAGGATGAAGCTCTTGTTTTCTGCTTCTATTATTTGCAGGCTAATGTCTCAGGGATGGCAGATAATAATGAGCGCCAGGTGGTGTTTGAATGTGTACAGAGCTCTGTCATACCCATTATCGTATTTGACCCTTATGACAACTCTAAGGGTAAGTGTTCTCATTCCTACTTTGCAGAAAGAAGAAAAACAAAAAGAACTGAAACCCACAGAGGCTGTAAGTGACTTGCTGGATTGAGCATAATTAATAGGTAGGCTCAGCTGGGAATGGAAACTGAAGAAGAAATGTGCTAAGTGAGTAAATTCAAATTATTGTTATTTACTTGCTTATTAACTCAATAAAGAATGTGAATACATTATAGATTTTTCTACACACGAATTAGATGATGGGCCTTCAGGCTGACAAAATGTTTCATAAACAAAAATGTCTATTCTTAATGTTTAGTATGCCCAAGGTTTATGAGAACTGATTATTTTGATGTTTCTTTATATTTATTTAGAAAGAGAAAAATAGCTATATTATATCCCTATGTTGATGTCAGTATAGATTCTAAATCTGAATATCTTCTGCATAAAACATAGTTTCTAGTTTCTGAGGGCTGTTTGTATCTAGTTACCTCTGAAGTCAAGGCTCTGGATCAGTATCTGAAGCTGCTAAAAGGGACAATGGAAGAGACATTGCTCCTTCTCTTGCTTCTTTCCCACTTGAAATGCCCTCAGAAATATCTGTAGATGCTCAAGAGAAAGGCATGTTCCTGGTCACTCAGAAAGAGGTTCAAAACATGAGGCTCGACTCTCTTAAGAGTGGCAGAAAGGTGAAAAGTTCCTGCTCCCAATAACCAATGAGTCCTTTCTCCTCTTAGGCACATTTGTGATTTGGGAATCTCATTTTTGCACTGGAGTCAGTAGCTTTATTATTATATTTTTGACTTCTCAGTGGCATCAATTCTTATCTTTATAGAAAAACTAAAAATTGAATTTGATTATTGTCAATCACCATATTATCTTCATCTTATTTTATTACCCTTTAATATATATTATTTTAACTCCAGTATTATAGTATTATTAGTTGTCAATGTTAGTTATTAAGGGTCTCTTAGAAGGAACTGTGTGCTTGCCACAGGATAGGGATGACCTAAAAATTTGCTATTACCCTGAGTACTCTGCTCCCAGGAAAAAGGGTGATATCACAGAAAAAGCCAGGGTTTGGAGAATAGAAACAGGTCTGAGTTCCAGTTGGCCACTTCTTCGCTGTGTCCTTGGCCAAATTTCTTGGTTAGTGCCTCTGCTGTTTCCCTGTCTCTTAAAAGGGCTTGATAACAATTTTCCTGATTTTCTTTTTTGGTGATATGAGGCAAAATGTGTAATTCTTAGCTTCCAGTAGGCACTGAATAAAATCCAAGCATTCTCTTTCAAGATTTGCCTTACCAACAAGATAGGGGTCCATATTTAAGAAAAGAAAAAAAAGATCCCATGACACTAAATTAATGCTTTAAAGATCGTTTAATTGCTTTTCAATCTTGTGTTTAAATCCAATTCATCTCTCCTTCTATCTTACCTAATTTTTATTATATGACAAGGTTTGCAGGAATTTAATCAGAAATTTGTCATGCTTACCTAGCATTCTTTGAGAGTCCCATGTATATTCAAACCAAGTCCTAACTCGAGTCTGCACAATTTGAGGAATGGAGTAAGTGTTCATGTAGGCAGTGGTGTTATCCATGCTGGCACGGAAGTTGTTTTGATTGGCTGTAGCTGCCCCGATTACATCTCTCATCTAAAACAACAAACATAGTCACTCCACACCCAGTAGAGGAACTGATGGAGTTACTAAAAGTCCAGTTGATTAAGTGTTCTTATACATTCTCTTCTGATGACCTGACTTGATTTGAAACACACTGATATTGGGTGCTAACTTCATCCATTTCCATAAAATATTGGGCAAATCACATCCTCTCTCTGACCAAAGAGGACAATAACAAGACCTGTCATCTTAACCATCCATGTGAGATTTTTGAGAGGATTCTATCACATAATGCATGTGACTGAATCAATAAATGGGATGGATTCAAATTAAAAAGCTTTTTCTCAGCAAAGGAAACAATAATGTGAGGAGAGAGCCTACAGATTGGGAGAAAATCTTTACCACATGCACTTCTGATAAAGCATTAATGTCTAGGATATATAAAGAACTGAAAAAACTTAACACCTTTCAAAAACAAAACAAAACAAAACAAAAAACAACCAAATAACCCAATCAATAAATGGGCTCAGGAACTGAACAGACACTTCATAGAAGGAGAAATACAATTGATCAACAAATATATGAAAAGTATTCAACATCTCTAGCAATTAGAGAAATGCAAATCAAAACTACTCTAAGATTTCATCTTACTCCTATCAGAATGGCAATCACCAAGAATACAGACAACAATAAATGTTGGCGAGGATGTGGTGAAAAAGGTACACTCATTCATTGCTGGTGGGATTGCAAATTGGTGCAACCACTATGGAAAGCATTATGGAGATTCCTCAGAAAATGGGGAATGGAATCTACCATTTGACCCAGCTATCCCACTCCTTGGTTTATACCCAAAGGACTTAAAATCAGCGTACTATAGTGACACAGTCACATCAATGTTTATAGCAGCTCAATTCACAATAGCTAGATTATGGAACCAACCTAAGTGTCCATCAATAGATGAATGTATAAAGAAAATGTGGTGTATATGTACTTAATGAAACATCAATCAGCTTTAAAGAAGAGTAAAATTATGGCATTTACCAGTAAATGGTTGGAGTTGGAGAATATCATGCTAAGTGAAATAAGCCAGTTCCACAAAACCAAAGGCTGAATGTTTTCTCTAATATGCAAATGCTAATTCATAGTAAGGCATGGGGTTGGGGGGGTGAAGGGACTGGGGGGCACTATGGAAGAATAGTGTTACCTTAGATTAGGTAGAGGGAGGTGATGGGAGGGGAGCGAATGTGGGGATAGGAAATATAGTAGAATGAAACAGACATTATTACTGTATGTATATATGTGACTGCATGACCAATATGATTCTGCACATGTATAATCAGAAAAATGAGAAATTATATCCCAACTATGTATCAAAGTGCATAAATGCTTTCTACTGTCATGTATAACTAATTAAAACAAACAAAAAGAATCCTCTTTGTGTACTTGTATATTATAGCTATGAAATGTTAGTTGATATTTAAGAAATCATACAGCTTGTGTGTATACAAGGAACCTGCAATGGAAATTAGCAATTATCTGACAGAATGGCTAGTCCATTTGGGTCAGTCTTACTTTGAAAGCATCCTTCATAGATTATCCATGTAGATGGCTATGTAGACTCAATTCATCATGGAATTGCAACCTTTGTACTTCCCTTTGTGTTGTTTAGACAGATAAAAATCAAATCTCATTATGCTTTAGGCATAGTATTCAGCAGAAGTTGAAATGTGCTAAAATTACTGAAGCATCATCTACTGCTGTGACAATACTTAAGGAACTGTCAGGTTTTAGTTCTTGGATGTTTATAACTCAGCCATAAAAATCCACTCTAGGTTAAAAGCTGATCTTTAAGGTCTCAGCACAAAAAAAGATATATTGCTCAACTCTTCCTCTCGCATAGAAGGAAGCAAGTGGTTGTAAATTTGCTTTGACTGTGGGTTTATAACAGGGAAGAAAACCAGGGCCTCACTTTCACACTAAGACTTTGCTCATTCATTCTAGTAGCTGCTGAGCATTTAATGTTTACAAAAAAAAAAAAAATCCTACTCATTCTTTGAATTCTAGCTTAAATGATGCCTTCGTCAGTTTCCAGTTTTAAGAGTCAATAAGGTCTTCTACTTCTCAAAAATGTTTGGGAGTTCATAACCCACTTGAATCAAAGTGTGAAATATGATATATCAAGAACTATGTAATGTATTGAACAACCAACAATAAAAATTAAAAAAAATGTTTATTGAGGAGTCAGGCAGATTATCCAACTGTGTCCATCTTTCTGAGTCTCTTACTTCTCAATGACTCTTCCAAATATTTTTTTCATAATCTCAATTTCTAGATCTCAGTTTTCCATGCATTTCTTTGTAGATGACAAACATCATGTAATTACCTAAGGATGGAAGACTTGGAATATTAAGGATTGTAGGGATTGAGTTGTGAGATTTAATAGAGTGTTAGTTGGGAAGTCAGGACTATTTAAGACATTTCTTATTCCATTTTTTCCCTCTTCTGCCCCATCCCTTACCTCCTTCCCTACCTTCCTTTTTTTCTTTGTGGTGCTGGGGATTGAACCCAGGACCTCATGTATGCTAGGCAAGTGCTTTACCACTGAGCTACAAAAACACTGACTGGGTGTTGAGGGCCCACGATTTGTAGTGAATGGAATCTGAGTGTTTTGTGTGGTATTCTTCAGCAATGTTGGGTTTTGTGGGTGAAGGAGTTAAAGAAGTCTTGTTGTATTCCATGATGAGTCCCAGCCTAGGGAAACACATGAGGATAGGAGAGTCAGAAAATCTCAGGCTCTATAAGTTGCATCAGGGAATAGAATATTGTGGTTAAAAAGTAATGATTAGTTTCAGGGTTTAGTCACTGACATGACTATCTGTGGGAATTTGAGTAAATGTAGATTTTGTCTCAAGCTCTCTTACTTTAGTTTCTTTTTATTCAAGATGAGAGTTTAAGGTACAAATCTGTACCTCCAAGTTTAATCTTTCTCTTGTGCTCTGGTGCAATATAGTCAATGACTTGATATTTCCTCTGTTCCTGTTGGAACCTCGAATTCATTTTAAAGACAGGCATGGTGTCACGTGGTATATAAAACAACACTTTTTTTTACTTTCATTTGCTTAAGAATCATGTGAAGATCTTGTTAAAAATGCAGGTTCTGACTCAGTAGTTCTGAAGGAGGGCCTGAGTTCTGAATTTTTCAAGTGCTGCTACTGCTGCTTTTCCAAAGGCTACACTTAGAGCAGCAAGAGAATTGAACTGGTGCCAGATAGACATTGTTTCTTAGTCTAGTTGTGAAAACTGCCTTGGTCTTGGTAAGTGCTCAATATATGGTAGATTTTACTATTATTATATATGCTTCTATCATATATATCATATACCTGTATGGATTACATGTATGAATTAGGGGGTGCATCTTAAGAATCTTTAAATTGGAGTTTCTGCCTCTGTAAAACAGAGAAAACAATGAATGGGATGTGACTACCTCACATTGATTTTATGAAAAATTATGAAATGTGATTTTTGCTATTTATATTCAAGTTGATTTAAATTTTCTCTCCAACCAGCTTCATATTTCAACCACTAATACAATTTCTCCAGCCACTAAAATTATGATATTTTATACTTACAGTTGTTTTTATTTTTGTGGTGTTGGGGATTAAACCAGGACCTTGTGCAAGCACTTTACCAACTGAGCTATATCCCCAGCCCTATACTTATAGTTTTTAACTACTTTATATCCAACTTCCAGTACCTAGATATTTTCTTAATGGAGTTTCCATTACAAACTTCTCTCTCCAGACCATTGATGTGTTTAGGCTGGAGTTGCCATACCTCTGTGTATCTTCATTAAACATATTTTAATTCTCTGTATTTTAATGTGCTGCTATCTGGGGCCTTGCTTGCATTTCCCAGGGTTAGTTAATTCCCAGAGATAGACTCTACCAAGAGTGTCTCATATGCAAAGTAACTGAACCAGATCCCATATTTCCAACTGCCTCACATTCAGGCCTCGACCCACAGTCCCATTCAACAGTGCGGGATACCAGATAAATAGAGACAGTCCTACACCTCAGAGCATGTGGAAATTATTCAAACAAGCCAACACTAACCCTGCTTATCCTGCCTCTCCTGTTTCCCAGCTGTGCTTTCCCATTTTATTCATCCTCCCCACCATGGTATGACGGGCTCCCTCCTCCTGAGCCCTGTGAGTATAGCCAACTACCATATACCATAAATTGTGAGTCTTACCATAACTAAATAATAATAAAACCTCTGTTTTAAAGTAGTATCCCAATTTCCAATTCATTATATTTTAACTGACTTTCCTTGAATCTTTGTTCAAAATCATCTCTTGTCTGGCTTCTATTGTCTTCAAGATAGAGTTCAACGTCTTTAACATCTGGAGCTCTTAAAATATCTTTACATATAGCTCTTAGTTACACATGTTCTCTCCAGTTGTTCTGGAACTGTTTCCATTTTCTTGAAGTTGTCTCACGTTTTATCATCTTTTCCTGCACTCTCTCTGTGACATCTTTTCCACACACGGTTTCTGATCAATTGAACTACCTGTCTATGATTACTGAATACTACCTGGTTTTTGAAGATGCTTCAAATGCATCCTACTCCACAAAACCTCCCGGGAAGCTTCCTTTTTTTCTGAACTGATAGCTCCCAAACTCCTCTGGAGCTTGCTATGTATAGCAGAACTTGGACATTGACGTGTAAGTTTTGACTGCTTTTGAATAGTGTCAGATATCATAATGAATAATTTTTTGATTGCTAAATTTTGTTAAAGAATGAGTTTCAGTCATACTACTGTTAACGTGGTGAGTGGGAACCCAGTTTCTCTAGCTGGAATAATCATTTTGTGATGTAATCTAACCTAGTGCCCATGCCTCGACATGGCTTTTTTTGCCTTTTAGCATGTGATATATAAAGGATCTTCTGAGGAAGCAAAAGTTCTAAAGATGCTCTGTTGTTGAACTTTTCATTAATGGTGATTCTGGAAATTCACAGAGATTTTGGTCTCTTTCAACTTGTAATGTATCTATTTACCCACTTGTTTTATTTTCTTACTATTTTGTAATCTCTTGAGAAGAGGGACAGAATGCCATAGCAAACATCTGTAAAACAATGATTTATTAGTTATTTAAGATGTATTTTTTTAGTTTTTAGTTTAAATGGGTTGATTTTAACCCAATGATTTTATGATAACATTTGAATTTTAAGGAAATAAGAAAGCTTTAAGGAAGCTCCAAGTAAGAAGTTGACATAGAAGTATCTTTTTCTGAAAAATGGACTTTTCTGGTAGATCTTCTGATGGATCTAATGGTTTAGAACTGAAACTACTTCTATTTTCTTGAAGTTGTCTCATGCTTTATCATTTTTTCCCCACACTGTCTCTGTGACATCTTTTCCACATTCTGTTTCTGATCAATTGAAATACCTGTCTATGTTTACTGAATACTACCTGTTTGTTGAAGATGCTTCAAATGCATCCTGCTCCATAAACCTCCCAGGAAGCTTCTCTTTTCTGAACTGATAGCTTCCAAACTCCTTTGGAATATAGCAGACCCTGGACATTCATGGATATATTGTGTGAGTTGACCCAATCACCTCCCCCTCCATGTCATTAAAATAGATGAAAGCTAGTGAAAGAAGTAGAGGAGTTAGAAGGGGAGGAGAAGACAAAGAATAACCACTAGATAATTTTTAATCTTTCCTCCATAAAATTTGTAAACACTTGTTAGCCTTTCAAAAATGAAAACACTATGTATTTAGGTGTACATATTCAACTTACCTGACCAATTAAGCTGGAGAACACAAACACTCCAGAAAAAAAATTCAAAAGTTGGAAAATAATTTCAAATGTAGTTTGTGGCTCTGGGAGGCCTCCAATGGTAATTAAAGTTCGAACTGCCCAATAATAACATCTCAGATATCTGTGACAAAAAAGTATACATTTACCTTTTATTATATTATTATATTACCATTTCATTATATTACATTACTATTTTGCTTCACTATATAGATTATCACCAAATAATTACAAATTTCTTCCTAATTAAAATTCTCTTTCAATAGGCAGTGCTGGCAAATACTGTGTATGCCTTGGTAAGCTTTTCAGTAAATACTGTGAAATGACTAAGCAATTAAGCCCAAGGAGAGTGTTCACCAGCTATTTCTGAAATGTAATAGAGTAAAACAACCACTGTATTATTAGGTTCTTAGCTTTGTGGGTCAGAAATTTGTGCAAGGCTCAGCAGAGATTTTCCAGCTGGGGTGACATGAATGGCTGGAGATCTCTGGTGATTGAAGCCAGATTCTTGATTTTTATTGTTGATTGGGTTCTTCTGTTCTTCCCTATGCCATGCCTGCGTGGATTGGAAAAGGTAGCTTCTTTTCTCACATGTCTGAGCCTGAGCTAAGATGGTTGGAATAACTGGGACAGGCTGAGTTATCTTTCTCTTTCCATTTAGCCTCTCATTGTGATTACTTTGGGCTTCTTCATCACATGGCAGTCTCAGGGTAGATGTGGACTTCTTATAAGGCAGCTGGCTCCCCCAGAGCAAAGCAACCCAAATGGTAGCTGAAAGGTTTCCTATAACCCAGAAGTCCTATAACATCATAATTTCTTGTCACATTATATTTATCAAGAAAATTACTAAGGCTAGTTCAGATTCAAGGAAAGAGAAGTTTGAATTCATCTATCAATGAAAGAAACAGGAAAGAATTTGAGGCCATCTTCAAATTACCATACCAGTGATTTGTGGGGGATATTATAGAGATGAAGTATATTTATGTAAATGGGAGAATCTTATACAGTTTATATATGATTGTTTCTACTACAGGAAAATAGAACTGGTAAATACCTTCTCTATATATTCCACTCACATTTTATTATGCTACTTAATATGCAAACCATGACAGAGATGGAGGAGATGGAGCTCTACCTTGGATGTAATAGATAATTTATATAGAAATTTAGTATTTAAGAAAACAAAAAATTATCACAAATATGCTTGATAAAGATTTTGTACTCAACTTGAGCAATTGAAAAATGGAGAGGCTACTAAGGTCATTATAACCTAAATAGGAAGAGAATCAGACAAGAATATGATAAAGATTAGAAGAGAACATATAATATTCATTTAGCTACATATAGTGGATTTCATGGAGTCCAGAGTGAGGTGGAAGTGGAAGTTAGTATTACAGCACCCCTGTATAATTATAACCATAGACTGTATTTTTTGTGCATGATTAGGCATACCATTTGGTATATTCCATATAGTTTTGATATTGTCCAGGTGAGGCATTCACACTGAATCCTTAAAGTCTTGTACATAAAGAAAAACTCAAGATATTTTGTAGAGAGGTATTTGGATTTAATGAATACCAAAAAGCTATTTTGTTGTCCAGGATTGACATAGAAAAACAGCATTTGTATCATGATTCTATGTTAAGGTTTTATTTCGTGTTCTGTTGGGCCACTATAACAGCACTTTAGATAATTGTGTATTAGACTTTGAATAGCATAATGTTTTTTCTTGTGAAAATAGTTTATGGGGTTTGCAGATCTTTAAATACTAAGAAGTTGGGTTTGCAAAGGATGAAATAAACTGATGTTGAAGTCAATATTCAGATCAAAATAGGTTTATAAAGAAATCCTTCTATTTGAAATTCAATACCTTTTGAAGGACATGGACTTTTTTTTTTCTTAAAACCTCATGGTTATAGGAACAGAAAAAATAATTAACTCTTTGATAGGGTTTAAAACTACTGTGCCAAGAGAATAAAAATATTACCACTGTGTAATTTTTTTCCTAGCAGTCTTCCTTGGACTTAATAATAGTATAGTGAACTTGATGTCAAAGAGAACCACCTTGAAGAAGTATGGAAGTCATTTTATAGATTGCATTTTAACTTTTCAAGTTCCAATTTATAATTTCCTGTTACCTAATTTATTTTGGTCACAGGTCCTGAACCTGTGGGTCTCTTTAAATTAAAGAAATTTATTAAACTTAATACTGTCCCAGAGTGGGAAGGGACTAGATTCTCTCCTTACATGGTTGATTCCATCCTAAGTGTTGGCATTTCTGCCCCCTACAAAGCCATTATGGTTTTAACAGGAAAAAAAACACATGAATTATTTTCTTTCAGTTTCTTATTTATGGATGTAAAAAAACAGAAGTCAAATGTGAAACTTTGGTATTGATTTTACAAATCTCAAGGGCTAGTCTTAAACAATTTTTTTTTATTAAATAGTCTGCCATGTTAATTGGAAGTTTTTTTGCCTTGATGCTTTGTGGTTTATTTTGGGATTCTTTGTTCAGTCAGGTCTTATGCCCAGACATGCACGACCAAAGGTAAGATTTGTAATTTAATTAGATGGCATCATATTGATTTTCTAGGATTAGCTTAATTAGTCAAGTGTGTCCATCTCTAATATCTACACCCCGGGCAGATAGATCTTCTCAAGGAGATTCTATCTGGCTGATTTAAAACCTGAACTATCTAGCTGTGAACTATACAATACTTGAAACACACACACACACACACACACACACACACACACGCGCACACATACACACACACCACACACACAGCTCCAGTTAAAGCAATAAGACAGAATTTGACATAAACTTAAAACATTCAATGTGAAAATAGGAATTTTTCTTCTGTGAATATATAAGGAACTGAAAAAAAACCTCAACAGCAAAAATAAGAAACAAAGAAGCTGAGTAGATATTTCTCAAAAGAAGATATATAAATAGATAAAAGTATATGAAGAACCACTCAAAATCATTAATTATTGGGGAAATGCAAATCAAATCCACAGTGAGATATTATCTCATTCCAGTTAGGATGGCTATAATAAAAAAGACAGTTGTTTTCCATGGTGGCTGTATGAACTCAAAATTCCACCAACAGCGTATGAGAATTCCTCTTTCTCTACATCATTGCCAGTATTTTTTTTTGTCTTTTTGATAATAGCCGTTTTAATTAGGGTGAGATATCTCATTGAGGTTTTGATTTGCATTTCCCTGGTGGTTAATGATGTTGAGCACCTTTTCATATACTCTATGGCTATTTGTATCTTTTCTTTTGAAAATGTCTTTCAGGTCCTTTGGCCTTTATTTTTTTTTTTAAGTTGTAGGGATTCTTACATATTTTGGATATTAATCCATTATCAGATATTTGCTTTGCAAATATTTTCTTCTATTGGGTCATTTGCCTTCTTATTTTGTTGTTTCCTTGGCTGTGTAGAAACATTTAAAAGTGATATAAACATATTTGTCAATTTTTGCTTTTTTTGGGGAGGCAGTCCTGGGGATTCAACTCAGGGGCATTTAACCACTGAGCCACATCCCAAGACCTATTTTGTATTTTATTTAGAGACAGGGTCTCACTGAGTTGCTTAGCACCTCGCCATTGCAGAGGCTGGCTTTGAACTCTTGATCTTCCTGTCTCAGCCTCCCAAGCTGCTGGGATTACAGGTGTGTTCCACTGTGCCTGTCTATTTTTGCTTTTGTTGCATATTTTTTTTGTTATATCCAAAGTATTACAAACCAGATCAAGGTCATGGAGATTTCTCGCTGTGCTTTTTTCTAAAGTAATTTTATATTTTTAGGTCTCACATGTAAGTCTTCAATCCACTCTTTTCCATTTTTGTTAGTGCATTTTAATTATACAGAATAATGGGTTTCATTGTGGCATACAGGCAAATAACATACTTTGATCATACCTGCCCTGCTACTCTCCTCTATCTTCCCCTCCCACTCCCCTTTTTCCTTTCCTCTAGTAGTCTTCCTGCTACTTTCAAGTCCTGCCACCCGCTCCTTGATTCCACATGAGGGAAAACTTGTAAAGCTAGTCTTTTGTGTCTTGTTTATTCCACTTAATATCCTATCCATCCATTTTCCTGCAAATGATACTATTTCATTCTTATTGGCTGCATAAACTCCATTGTGTATATATATACCACATTTTCTGTATTGGTACATGTATTGATGGGAACCTAGGCAGATTCTATAACTTGGATATTATGAATTCTGCTACAATAAATGTGGGTATGCAGGTATCTATGGAGTATGCTGACTTTTTTTTTCCCTTCTGGCATATTCTAAGGTGTGATACCACTGGATCTTATGATACTTCTATTTTCAGTATTTTGAAGAACTTCCATACCGATTGCCATAGTATGATACTAATTTACATTCCCACTAACAATGTATAAGGGTTCTGTCCCCCAAAATCCTTTCCAGGATTTGTGGTTTTATATTCTTGATGATTGCCACTCTAACTATGGTGAGATGAAATCTCAATGTAGTTTTGATTTGAATTTCCCTGATGTCTAAAGTTATTGAATGTTTTAAAACATAATTATTGGCCATTCATACTTCTTTTGAGAAAGGTCTGTTCAGTTTATTTGTTCACTTAATTGATTGGATAGTTTGTTTTTGTAGTTAAATTTTTTGAGTTTTCAAAAATATGAATATTAATGCTCTATCAGAAGAGTAGCTAGCTGCCACAATTTCTCCCATTTTATGGGCTTTTTATTTACTGTTTCCTTTGCTGTGAAAAAGCTTTTCTATTTGATGAAGTCTCATTTGTTAATTCTCACTATTATTTCCTGAGCTATTAGAGTCCTATTAAGGAAATCATTGCCTGTGCCTATGTCTTGAAGTGTTTTTTAAATAAAGGCACTCAGAGATGTAAATTTCCCTCATAGAACTGCCTTCACTGTATGCCACAGATTTTGGTATGTTTTTCCATTTTAATTTGATTAAAGAAATTTAAAAATTTACCCATTGGTTTCTTCTATGATCCAGTGATCACCCAAAATTGTATTGTTCAATTTCCAGCATTTGTATAGTTTCTCTTGCTGTTAATCTCTAGTTTTATTTTATTTTGATCTGATAGGATGCAAGAAATTATTTGA